CAGAATCGACATTCAGAGTTGATCATATATGCTACTTTTTTTCTAGAGCAGAAACGCGTGAAAATGAAAATTTTTATGTATACATATGAATAGGTCTATTAGCATTGTTTGAAATTTCTCCATAATTTTTACACTTAAAATGAAGTAAATATGTTCTGGCGTTGAAGAAAAAGAAATTGAATGCATTTAGTACTACAATCGCTCGCTGAGCCCTCAATGAATGGTTGTCGTTCTGAATGCACCCATTGAAGATACTGATATGAGTGCAAAAAGTACAAGCAACGCGAACAGACTATTGACTCCCAGTCTTGGGGTGCGTTCCATTTCTTGCATGATGCGCATAGAAGCATAGAAGTTCGTTCCGTTTCTCTTCATGCACATTCGCTGCATGCATGATTCAACCTATCGCCAATTGCATAACCCCGCCTCTTCCGGTGCATGAAACCGCATGAAGTGCCTCACCTCTCGAGCTGAAGCAGTTCATGCAGTTTATGCATTCAACATATTTTAGTGCGAAACTGAAATCATAGTGGTTCGAATGGAGCGAATGTTCTTAAAATCACGTAAGGGTTAAAAATAAGTAAGTAGAGTGCTCAGAATACCTAAACATTTTTTTTAACATTTCATATATACATACTATATATTATATAATATATATATACGGTATAATACTGGTTTTACCGAAACATTACGCGTATACTGATATTATGAAAATTTCGGTTGAATACCGGATGAATTGCATGAATTCACTGCGAATCCGTTCCTTTACTAAAATCGCATGGAGTGTATTAGAGAAACGGAACGAAACTACCCTGCACTCCATGCCATGCACTAAATACTCATGCGCTTCATGCAAGAAACGGAACGCACCCTTGGTATAAATCTCCCACTTGAAGTGTAGATCTTTGCGCCCTTTTTCGTTAGTAGGCCACATTCGAGGGGAATTACCAAAATATTATTATAACACGTACATAGCACGAAAAATTTAAGATCATCTTTAGATGTGCAATATTTAAAATGCCAAAAACTCACAGTGATAAAAAGTATGCTCAAAAGTACATAAAAGGTTGGGAGTTAAAACCAATTTTTAAAGGTTAGTTTCGCAATAGTTTAATCTAATTAAATAAATAATTACAGAATAGAAAAGAATAGATTTAATCTAAATTTGATGCAATTTTGGCGATACTCTTTCTTAAATAGTAATGTCTATTTTCTTTAAAATCATTCTTATTCTTTATCTTAACGATCTAATTCTTTATAGATTGATTAAAACCGTCGCCTGATGGAAATTCAAAAAAAGCATTTTGCACTTTTTGTAATACAGTTCTCATCGCGCACAAAAAAGGACTCATTGAACATGCTGCGTCAAAGAAACACAAGACATACCTGAAAGATCGAAATATCATTGTTCAATTACCAAAACTTAACAAATTTGTGGAAGCGACTCTGACAGAAAAACGGAAAGTAGCTGAGTTGAAAATTGCTGTTTATGTGGCAGAGCATTCCTCCATAAAAGTCGTCAATCATCTTGCTCTTATGATCAAAGAGCTTGATCAGAATTCTGAAATCCTGCGAAACATAAAGCTACATCGGACGAAATGTTCAGCTCTAATAAAAAATATTTTATCACCGTATATCATACAAGATCTTAAGGACGTTGGAAATTCACATTATTCATTGATTATTGACAAATCTAAGAAGATCGACGTGACGAAAATCCTCTGCCTTATTATTCGATATTTCAGTCAGTCAAAGAAAAAGATTGTAACAACTTTTTATCGCTTAATTGAAATGATAGCAGGTACCTCTGACGCTATCTTGCAGCAATTGAAGAGCGATCATCTAAAGACAGAAAAACTCTTAAGTCTAGGATGGAGCCAGTGTAAACGTAGGTATACATCATTCGGTGACACTATTGCGGAATATCAATCCAGATCTTATCGAGGTTAAGTGCATTTGTCATTCATTACATCTTGCAGCCGAGGAGGCTTGTAAAGTCTTGCCAAGGCATCTCGATTTCATGGTACGCGAAACATACACGTGGTTCTCTATTAGTAGTAAACATCAAATCGAATATGCAAAAATTTATTGTACTCTCAATGATAATACACCTAAAAAAATCGTTAAACTATCGAATACCCGATGGTTAGTGAGGCTCCAGGCTATTAATGCCATTCTCAATCAATGGGACGTACTACAGCTGCATTTTAAAATTACAGCAATAATAAGGAACGCTGTTATACAGCTTCTCAACTATATAACATGTTCTCAACGCCCGAAAATAAATTGTACTTGAATTTCCTCAGTTCGACGCTGCAAAACATTACAAGACTAAACAAATTATTTCAATCTGATTTTACTGATCCGGTTAAATTGTTTAAAGATTTGAATGATTGTATATATTCACTTCTCCAAATAGTCGTCGTTCCGTCGCAACTAAAAAAAATATCGCATTATGATCTTGCAGAATTCGATTTCAAACGTTTTTGCATGTCTCTCGAGTGCATCAATTTTGGGTACGAATTGAACATTTTATCTGCCAACATTCATAAAGATTCAGTTGTGCAAATTAAAGAACGTTGCAGAGATTTTTTGTTTGTTCTTATATCGGAATTACAAAAGAGAATTCCTGATAATATGAAAATACTTAGTGAAATATCAACATTTGCGCTGCAATTCGCATCATCACAGGTAAAAGCTGATATCACGGATATTGTGATCAAGTTCAAGCGTACTCTATGCAATAATATTGATTCAACTGTGACTTTTTTTTGATAATGGAGGGGAAATGCCTTTGTATACCCCGAGATTCCGGGGTTATGTGGGACCCACTAAAACCCCTCCGGATGTCCTGCTCTGGCCATAGTGAGGGGCTCCCAGGAACGCGTGCAGCATTCCACTTCTGGGAGCCAGCTGGCCTAGGCCGGACCTAACCCTATAAGGGAGTCGGCTCCAGGTGGCGCTGGGCGCTGTCTGCCTAAATGGGCGTGGAAAGGGACACCGCCCTTCACGCCCCGCCCCGTTGTTGTGGGGGCCGGATCGGGGCCGCCGACCCCCCGGTCGTCCGCCCAAACCCCCTCCCGCCGGATCAGGACCCATTGTTGCGCGGAATCAGCCCCTTTTAGAAAAGGCTGGTCCGCGCACTCCCGTAAGGCCCGCGGGGGGGGGGGGGGAAGCGAGGGAGACCGAGCCCCACTAAGGAGGCGATTCAACTGTGACTGAGTAGAATTTGCTTCATAAAGTTGAAGTTGCTGAAATTGTTTTCTCTCCAGAAGGAAAGAAGAGGAAGAAAGATGAACTGGTGCAAAAGTTCAGCCAAAAAGAACAGGCCTATTGTAATGTTCTTGCCAGTATTGCCAGATCAGGGGATTTTCCCCTAAATTTAGGGGATTTTTAGTCGCGTCAGGGGACAAATAGAGGGAAAAATTATTTAGTGGATTTTAAATAAATTAAGGGTATTTTTGCAAAAGTTCAGCCAAAAAGAACAGGCTTAATATTATATTGCGGTGCGCGTAACAAAGGAATGTACCGTTGGAAAGTGGAAATACTGGAATCTGTAATTTGTAATATCTGTATGTGCGGAATACGAACGAGTGTCAACATTATGGTAAGTTTCATTTCTCCACTCCGCAACATCCTTGAAAAACGAGTGTCAACGAGTGTCTAGTTAGTCTAGTCCATGGACATAGGAATAACGGAACGGAGCAATAACTGCGGGGGGTGAAGCCATTTAGCGGGAGGGAACTATGGTCACGTAGTATGTTTGGTGCTGCATTGGCGATTGGTTAAAATCAAGCAGAATTTGCGCAAACGCAGCATCTTATTATTTTGATTGTCATGATACTGTGATCTGATACAGGTTAGAAATAGTTAGAACTTATAAAGGGAATGAGAAAAAGAAAAGAATGAACGGAGAAAACATCCAATTTTATTATTTCGAGATATACAGTTTGAATAATATATATTCTTATATATCTCTCTTGATATATTACGTATTTATTTACAATGCCACAGTGTATTATAAAATACTATAAAAATCGCACACCAAGTCGTCCAATATTAGGACAATGTAAACAAGAAAGAAATATTAATGTATCATATCACTGGTAAGAAAAATTCATGTTCTGTTTGCATATATTAAGATTATATTGTATTATTATTTTATTTTCATCTTATTTGAAGATATAGAATCGACCCTCTGGAGGTCGATTGTGTATCTCGAAATGAGATGAAAATTACAAAAGTGAGTAAATTCACTAGAATATTCATAATTTAATTGGTCAATAATTAGTGAATTTGCTCACTCTTTTGGAATTTTCACCTTATTTTAAGATACATAATCGACTTCCTGAGAGAGGCCATAGCAGCCTTTTTCGCGTGATAGGCGAAAGTCACTAGAGTCCCTAGAAGTAAGAGTTGCGCATCGACATCTAGAATGGACCGCTGATGGCAATGGTGGGGGTAGAAAGACGATTAGAGTGAGAGGCAGGAATAATAAGATCGTTCTTTCTCTGTTTACTGAAGCCTGATTGGTTGTTGTTAATCCAACAGTAGTGCCAATTATTAACAACAACCAATCAGGCTTCAGTAAACAGAGAAAGAACGATTTTATTATTCCTTCCTCTCACTCTAATCGTCTTTCTACCCCTACCATTGCCATCAGCGGTCCATTCTAGATGTCGATGGAGTTGCGTCAATCTTCTAGTTGGATTAAAAATGGCGTACTTTTACTGCATATAGCACATGCCGCATGCATACGTACACGGAGTAAACATACGTACAAGAATAAAATAACGGTAGGTATATTTATATAAGTGTCAATGTTTCAATTAGTATTAATAAATTCTAATTATTAGCGAATAAGTAAGTATATGTAATTAAGGATTAAATTGTTAAAATTTTACAAAGTAATAAAAAATGAGGATGTATTGTATAAGAATAAAGCTAGTGTTATAACCTCAATTCCATTAAAATAAAAAAGCGTTATTTTTTAGAAAATGACTGGCTGTTGCATACAGGGTTGTCGCAACAGAAGCGAACAATGATACTATATGACAACCTTTCCTGTAGACACAAGAAGAAAGGCATTATGGGCTACAACATATCGGGAAAGAAAACTGGAAACCTAAGCCATATTCATCTATTTGTGAGGTAAACGTGTAATTATATAACATAAATATATTTATTTATTTTATGTATTGAATATTTTCAATAATAATAATGTTCCTCATGTTTTATTTATATAGGTACATTTTGACAAGGAAATGTGGGAAAGACTTCGACAAAACGGAAAAAAAAAATTGAAAAGATATGCAGTACCAACAATTTTTCCAGTTCAATAAAAACTTCTTGGAGTAGTTGAATCTGTAGGATTGGAAACAAAGAGAAACGACAAAAATAACGAGGAAAATATTAGTAAACGTACGAATATCATTTACACAAATCATTTTCGGGCTGAAATTAATTCATCATCCTATTTATTCATTATAATCAACTTTCAGATATAACAATTGATTCTGTGGACGATCCTAATAATAAAACATTTCAAAATAATGATAGCAATGAAAACATTAACACTGAATTCATAAATACTGATAAAGAGCGTCCTGAAAACGAAAATAATAACAACACACATATATCTACAGCAACTATATCCAATATTACATCATCTATATCAGAGTGTGCTCTCCAACAAATAAAATTATTGCATCAACAACTTGAAGATAAAGATGTAGAAATAAAAAAAATGAAACAAAGACTCGAGAATGCCGAAAAAGTTCTTTGTAGATGCGAAAAGTCGAAGAAAATTCTTATGAATCGTAGAAGATTGAGTAAGAATAGAATAGAAAATATTATTATTAAAACATATTTACCTTACATTAAGCAAATAAATTGTGATATTGTTAAATTTTTCATTACAAACATGGAGAACATTAAATGTTACACATTAAAAAATTGTCACGGTTTATTCGACAAAATTAAAACTCATTTTATTAAATTTAAGCTAAGAAAAAGTTGTCAGTCAGAACGATTAAATAAACCTGTTTTTATGTTTAATAGCAAAACTATGGCTATGCATTCATTAATAAAATAAACATTTCAAACTTATCTCATTTTATTGAAAGATGTTATTGTTTAAATTGCATTATATTTTATAAGCAGTTTACATTCAATTAATATATTAAATTAATATATTGAATGTTTTTATGTTGAATTAAAATATATTAAATGTTTTATTCATATGAATATATTGCTTTGTTTATGAAAATGTTTATGAAGATTTTAAATAATTAATATTACATATCTATTATTTTAATATAAAATATTGTACTTTGTGTATTTTATTTTTATTTCATTTTTTGTTTCATTAATAAACATATTGTACTTTTATTATATATATTTTTCATGTGTGTATGTATTCCCCCCTTAATAACCTATCCAATAATTTTTATCTTCTAATTATATTCATAATCCTGTTCTCAGTAAAAGAATTCATTTTACGTTGCGCAAGTGTGTGCAGGTCCCCTTCCACATACTCAATCATCACTGATTGGTTCCGCCATTATTCATCCAGCCAATCAAAAATAGTACAAGATTGACGCAACTCTTACTTCTAGGGACTCTAAAAGTCACCGTACGCTAGCGGCACTAACATCAATTTTATAAATTGATGTGAACTACGTATCACATTTTCGCCACTGTCGATAAAATCGTAGTGTCGATAAATGGATTTGGTGTTATATTCACAAACTGTGAATAAAGAAGATATTAATTTACAAAAAAATGTTTTTTTTAATCACATAAGGTATTTCTTATAGATTTTTGGATGCTGAAAACGATGCCGCAAGTTAAATAGTTAAATTTCACTAGCACGTCAGGTTTTCTAAATAAATAACTGAGGTTTAATGTGCAAAAATCTTTTGTTATATATTTAAAACGTTTTTGTAAAAAAAGATTAACGTTATCTCGAAATTGTAATCAGAAGTCATGAATGTATTGTTCATCCTCTACGAAATGTATTCTTTTTATTTCAATATCTTACTTTTTAGTCACGTTATGAAGAATTCAAGTACAGAGTTTTTCTAAGATAGTAAATTTTTCGCCTTTAACAATGATCTCATTATACTTATAATTTCTAGTTTGCGACTATCAATACACACAATTGCTGTCTCTAGATAGTAAAATTCTTACCGTCTCCATTCAACTGTCCAACAACTATGTCAGCGTAAGAAACAAAAAAAAGACTATTGACAGGGATTGAGGAACTTTATTGCACATTTACATGTATTTAATTTTTAAAATTGTAACTTTACGCGATTTTTGCGCGGCAAACTCATTAATTATATAATTATAGTCTGTTTTGATATTAAGCTCTGCTTCAATGCATAATAATGCTAAGGCATAATTCACACTGGACGCAGCAAGCGTCAAGCAGCGGAGCAGCAACCAACCAGCAAGGCGATATTGTTTACGCCACTGTAAATATCGCCTCACTGATTGGTTGCTGCTCCGCTGCTTGACGGTTGCTGCGTCCAGTGTGAATTAGGTATAAGGCACTTAAACACTCGCTGCTCTGAGTACTTCTTAAATAATTGTTTACTCTTCGTAGTACGGAGAAGGATCTTTCACCCGAACAATTTGACACCATTATGCAAAGGAAAATTCGAAGTACAATATTTACATTCGAATACAAAGTAAGTAAATCTCGTTGGTAAAGCATCTTGCACAATTCGGACGCTGACATTTTTTTTATTTTTAGAGTGTGCAAATGTGTACCAAGATGCTGACATTCAATATCTAGCGTTCCTTTTTCTAAATTTTTCTAAAATCTATCATGTACAATAAATTGAAAAACATCCAAACAGAACAAGAAAATAGAGACTTTAAAATGACTCCAAAACGTTTTCTAAAAGTCATTTTTTGATCAATCACGATTCAGTTTAACGTCATTTTGATATTATCGTGACTTGTTCTATTTTAATTGTGACAAACTTTTGCATATGAATAATGATTTTGTGTAGAAAAATAAAATAAATATTACCGAATAAACAATTACTTTGCGTTTTGTTTAATAATTCCTGGTACTTTTTAAACGTATATAATAATACTCACAATTATACGTTAAAAAATAAAACGATTTCTGTATAGTGTGTGTCGATTTTAATTTATTGAACTAATTTGTAAATGTTAATTTATATGATATTTAAAATATGTTAATTTAAATGATATTTAAAATATTTTGTTGGGCTTATGTATTCTTATTGACTTTTCATTGTGATAAAAAATTGTAAAATATTTTAATTTCAAAAAGTAGCTAAAATGTTGACAAAAAGTATTAGAGGAAATATTATATTACCATTGGAAGAGGGCTCTATAGGATAGATTTTCACATTTGAAGTAGGCTCTATGGGACAGGTCTTCAAATTATCTTCACTTTCAGTATTCAAGTTTTCAAAATGTTGTTTCAAATGGGAATTAATGGCAACAGAATTCGATGAAAAGGACTCGAGCTTCGGCACTTTCAAAGGTATTCTTTTTTCTCGATTCAACTTCTCTTTGGAGAGTTTTCTGTACTTTTCGCACCACTTAATCTTTCACGAACATTACTCATTGTGATCTAATATATGAGTTATTATAAGTATAAAATACGTACAATTTATAACATGAACATAATACATATATAACTGTAGCAAATTTCCACTTACCCACAAAGTTATTAATCGTATAGTGTATTCACAATGAATGTATAATGTTCGCTATACAAAGCACGAAAATCGCGTAGACTAATGGATCGAGAACGTAAATGTTGTAAATACGGGATATTATAATGAGAGAGATGTACGGAAATGATGCATCGACGTCTCGACGAAGCGATCCAGTGAGCTGTGATGGCAATAACGAGTAGGAACAATGTTCTCTACTCTCTAGTAACGATTATTTCAGAAGCACAGATGTCTATACTAATACTAGTACTAGATTGCTAATCTCTGTGATTTAAGCGTCAGAAAATGTGTGCAGCAGGATATCCGGTTTCAGCCATGTTCGACTGCAACAAAATAGCCGTCTGCTTGTCAGACACAGCTGTAGCGGCCAACCTAAGCAATCTTAGGTTAGTGTGCTTGGCAAGCAGGGGTGCGTTCCAAAATTCACTCCGAGTAACAGAGTTTAACTCTACGCCGTTCCAAAACGCGAGGTAACTGACCATATGGGCGGAGCCTATTCGTTCCAAAAGTATGAGTAAAGCGGGGAGCACAGACTCTTTCATAACGCATAACACGTAATGCATAAGAAAATGTATCAATCAAAGCTCTCCGTTTCCTTCCTTTCCATGAAATAAAGAATTCTGATTGATTGAATTTCTTATGCATTACATGTTATGCGTTATGCAAAAGTCTGTGCTCCCCGCTTAA